TGTATATGAGAAAGAATTTATTTACATATAAATTTTACATATTAAATATATATAATTTTAATCATTTATATTTTCACTTTTAATACCTGAAATTTATCATATTTTTAAAATAAAACATAATCATATTTAATAAATATAAATAAATACCAATCACTAAAAATAGAAAGATAAACAATTAAGATTTTATATAATATGGTATATAAAACTTATATGGAAGTTAATTCTTAATATATATCTGAGTTTAGTGCTTGTTAACTTAAATTTCAAAAAGTAGAAGGAAGAACACCCTCAAATTACGTCATTTTATTAAAATACTACAGAAAATTTCCAAAATAAATTCATTTTAGTTTTTAAAAAATAATGTATTCTAGTTTTTTTAATAAGAGTTTATTAAAACAACTCAATTTTGAGATTTTTTTTCTTATTTTTTAATGATCTAACTAACAAATACTTTTCTCTCTATGTATATATATGGAAAATTATTAGTACACCCTCTAATTCAACACACTTAACAATACCCTCCAGTTCAATTGTCAAAATTTGCCTTTGAAAATTTTTCCACCTTAAATTTAAATTTGAAAATATTAGTCTCTTAGTGAATAAACCGGAGTGTGTTGTATAGTATGTTAAACCGGAGGGTATACCATCATTATCCTATATATATATATGTTCTTAACAAATTATAATAGGAAAAAATGTTTATCAATTGGATTTTTAATAATTGATTGAAATTGAAAAAGCTAAGGGTCTATTTAATAGTTGTGGTTTTAAGCTTTTAATTTTAGTTTTTAAAAATTTAGAAACTCTAAAATAAAATTAAGTAATTCTATAAATTAATTAAATTTAGAGTTTTGAGTATTTATTTTAAAATTTTATACCCAATATATTGATAATTTTAATTTTTAATTTTTAATTTTAATTGTTTAAATTTTCAAAACCAAAATAAAAAACTTAAAACCATAACCCCATTAAATGGAGCCTAAAATAATATTTTTTAAAATAGCAATAAAAATATTTTAATATTTTTCTATGTTATTTTATTTAAATAACATAATTTTAAATTTTTTTAATTTCTTTAAAAATTATGTTGATAAATACTAATCTTATTATAATATATATCCCAACCAACTCTTAAAATAAATAAATAAATAAATAACTCTTGCCCTAACTGTATAAATTGAAGCCCAAGTTTCTCATCTCCTCGACTATCAAAAAAAGTTTCCCATTTCCTCTTTCGAATAGAGTATGAATACTACATTGACCCTTTTTCTGCTTAGTTTATGTTTTTGGCCAGTGCTTAATTTTCTTTTCTATTATAGATAAGCTTCTTCTAGCGGGAATATATCTAGTGAATCGTTTTATGTCATATATATTTTCTATATATTCTAGCTACCGTTCAGTTTTTTACTTTCAATTCGTGTCCAAGAATGGTGGAGAAGAGAAAAATTGAACTACTCTTTTCTTCTTCTAGCTCATAGAATTTTATTAATGAACAGAAAATGTGGAAGTTGAAGATAGCAGAAGGCGGGCCATGGCTGGCAACGGTGAACAATC